AATCGACTGCCTCCTGCATGGCCCCAACTGGGGACTGAGCCCACAACCGGACATGTGCCCCAATCCAGAATCTATCCTGCGACCTTTTGGTGCATGGGATGACACTGAACCAACTGAGCCACAAGGCCAGGGTAATCAATCACCAGAACTTTCTAAATTATAGACTCCTAGTTCTAATCTATATTTAGTTGAATATTCTGGCACAAGGCCCAGGTGTCTGGGTTGTTAAAAGGTCTCAAAGTAATGCTGATGATCACAAGAATTGCATCCCCACAATAGAATCCCTCCGTCCAGTGACCGAGTCTCATGCTGAGTTGTGCTAAGCATTTATGATGACATTAATAGACCCAAAAGCGAACACAGAAGGACCATCTCCAGGTGACCACGTGTACCCATTAGTTATTGTTAGCATAACAAACTATTCCAAAACAAGTAGCTTAAAAGGATAAGCACTTATGATGCTCACAAGTCTGTGGATCTGGATCAGTCTGTCTGAGCTCTGCTGGGCCCACTCAAGTGTGAGGTCAGCTGGCTGGTCTAGGATTGCCTCACTCACACACCTGTCTGGTATAAGATTGTTATCACCTAGGGTGACAAGAGTCTCTGGGACACAGCAAGTCCAGGAGTATCTGTATGGTGACTGGGCTGGATTCTGAGGGAATAGGCAGAAGTATTCGAGGCCTCTTAAGATGTAGGCTGGGGTCCAGTATAATGCATACCTTTACTTATGCACATTCTACTGGCCAAAATTAAGTTACAAGGCCAAGCTCAGGTTCAGGAGCTGGGGAAACAGACTCTACTTCTTTTTGTTGTTGCTGTTTTAATTGATTTCAGAGAGGAAGGGAAAGGGAGAGATGATAGAAACATCAATGACAATTGATTGGCTGCCTCCTGCACGCCCCCTACTGGGGACTCGAGCCCCTGACCCAGGCATGTGTCCTGACCAGGAATCAAACTGTGACCTTCTGGTTCATAGGTCAATGCTCAACCACTGAGCTATACCAGCTGGGCCAGACTCTACCTGATAAAAAGAGCTACAAAACCACATCACAAGGAACTAGATTAAAGAGGGGAATCACTAGGGTCATTTTGGCAACCAATTTATTACACGCCTAATGTAATGAGAGAAAAAGATCACCTGCAGCCAAATGTGGTTTCTAAGTATAGGCCAAACTTTTCGCTCTAATCTCAAATACTATAAAATCCCCAGATTGAAATTCCATCAGCTATTCCTCATTTCTACTGCCTGCACACAAACGCATCTTACTTAATCTTCAAGATCTTGGTCTCAAACTAAAGCAAAAGGAATCTGTCCCAGCGCTATTTATTATTTATTTACTTACTTACTTATTTTTATTAATCCTCACCCAAGGATATTTTTCCATTGATCTTTTAGAGAAAGTGGAAGGGAGGGGGAAAGACAGAAACAATGATGTGAGATAAGCACATCGATTGGTTGCCTCCTGCATGCCGCCCAGGGCCCTGCAGGTAGGAGCCTGCAACCGAGGTACGTGCCCTTGACTGGAATCAAACCCAGGATCCTTTGGGCTGCAGGCCGACACTCTCTCCACTGAGCAAACTGGCCAGGGCTCAGCACTATTTTATACTATCCTCCGGGGGTTTTAAAGGTGGTGTGGATGACACGCCATCCTCATGGGGATTGTTCAGGGCAAGTGTCTCTGTGATGTCTCTTCCTGGCTTGGGATGTGCCAACAGATGAAATGTGGCCGGAGGATCAGGGCTACATCCTCCAAAGGATCCGAGGCATCACAGGAGGAGCACCAATGGGTCGTAAGAAATATTACAGGGAAAAGATAACATCCCAGAGCAGCAAAAAGCCCGAGGAGCAGGAAACTGGAGCTCACTGAAGATTACAGGCTGGGGCTAATTATACTTTAGCCACCAGCTGTACCTAAGCCCTCTTCACTCCATATCCCTAGTTCGCTCACCCTTGCCCCGACTGTGACCACTTAGGAAAAGCACTAAAACTACAGTGGCTGACCTCACAGCTGTCTTCCCTGACCCAGGCCCTGCGGTGCAGCCTGGCTGTGGTGCAGCCATAGTTATTATGGCATCCCTGCAACCAGGGTGCTGCTTTCTGGTTTAAAAAAAAAAATCACCATGACCTTTTGGTTAGCTCCACTCAGTTCTCTAAACATCTACTTGTGAGGTCTGGGACAGCAGGGGGTGGTAGAGAAATGAATTCCAGAAAATATAGGATGGTGGAGAAGTGGCTGAGGCTGGGCTGGGATACAGAGAGTGGGAGGAGAAAGAAAGCATATGCTGCTCAAAGACAAGGTTGTCGAAAGTACCCGGTTTGGTTCCCATTTGTAAAGCCGGTTTTCAATCTGTCTGGTAGGGTCACTGCTTATTAAAAGACTAAACAAAAGGAGTGCATGAAAACATGATGAAAGAAAAAGAAATGCTAGATTCACCATGAAGATGCCTCAGAAAAGCCAGATTCAAGAAGAAATCACATTCAATTTAGTTTATGAAGAAACCCTAGGAAATTCTGAAACTGTGCAGAATAGGCCATCAATAGCAAACACCGCTGCCCGGCCGGTGTGTCTCAGTGGTTGAGCATTGACCTATGAACCAGGAGGTCATGGCCCAATTTCCAGTCAGGGCACCTGACAGGATTAGGGCTTAATCCCCTGTAGGGCGTCTGAAGGAGGAGGCCAATAGATGTCTCTCTCATCGATATTTCTATCTCTCTATCCCTCTCCTTTCCTCTATCTCTAAAATCAATAAAAACATATTTTTTAAAATTAGCAAACACTACGCACTCTCCTCTACACTGGATTCTGTCCCTGAGCACTGAGTCTGGGAGAGAAGTGGGTATGGGAGGGATGACGATGTTTCTAGACACTAATGCATACTATCAAAAGTGCATATGCCTATGGGGGCCAGATGGTTACCAGTATTGTTACGCCCATGGGTGGCTTGAAGTGGCATCCATTTGCTTTTCAATCATAACTGAAAAGAGTCACAAATTTAAACCTCGAATCTCCGGTAAAATCATCATAATGGTTCCCACCCCCTTCTTGCTCACTCGGCAACAAAATAAGTGGCATTCTTGGATCATCTTCTAAAGAGCTTGCTGATCTGGCTGCAGTTACTCTATGCTTTAGATTTATTAGCCAAAGGGAAACCTAAGCTATAAGGAAGCCGAGAACTGGCATTATTATCACAGAAACATTATAACGGCAATGACGAAGAGTTATTGATTTCAACAAGAAAACATACTCTACTTTCCTAAAACTTAGCAGAGGGGTATGCACTCTAAGGGTCTGCCTGTGCCCTTCCTACCTTTTTTTGGTACACCAATTTTTAGGGCTGTTTTTTTTTTTTTGCTCGTCTAAAAACCTAGATATGGTAAATGTAGGTTGCTCCTTACAGAGAATCCTTAAGTTGCCCGCACAGCGGTGCCAAGAAAGAAACTGCTGCATTCGTAGAGATACCTGGGCACAGGCCAAACTTCCACATGTGTCATGGGAGTGCCTCTGGCCTGGGCAGTTCCCTGCACCATTCTCCTATAAAACCCCTTAGCTCAGCATCTTCATACTCTACTGTTATCAGGACGTAATTCCTCGAGTCTGTTCAAAGAACAGGGCCGTCTCAGATGGGCTACTAGTATAGAATCAAATTAGCGTGACCATAGCCTTCTCTTTCCATCAGCCTTTTTCTTGAGCTCTCCCCAGGTATGAAAGTTTGGGCTCGGCCAGCACCAGAGGCAGCAGTTGTATTTCTTCCATGCCCATGCAATCCTTAGTCTGTGTTTGGAATAAGTTGTATTCCTTCATCTGCCCATACAATCCAATAGTTTGCGTTTATTTTTTTAAAAAAAATATTTTTATTGATTTCAGAGAGGAAGGGAGAGGGAGAGAGACATAAAACATCAATGATGAGAGAGAATCATTGATCTGCTGCCTCCTGCACGCATGCGCGCGCACACACACACACACACACACACACACACACACACACACACTGGAGATGGAGCCCACAACCTGGGCATGTGCCTTAACCAGGAATCGAACCATAACCTCTTGGCAATAGTTTGTGTTTAGAATAAGTTGTATTCCTTCACATGCCCATGCAATCCATAGCCTGTGTTTGGAATAAGTTGTATTGCTTCTATGCTCATGCAATCCATAGCCTGCGTTTGGAATAAATATTGAAATCAGAAGCCTGATATTAACAATGCAGCACTTGATGACTGTGAATTACTCTCTCACCCACAGCAGTTGAGGGAGAAGGCCTGGCAACAACCCCCCACAACAAACCTGCTCCCCAGCCTCCTCCATGTGCCTTCCAACCCTCCCCTCAAAGAATTCTCAACACACCATACAAAGATTTCTGTTTTCTCCCTTAAATCCCACATGACTCCCACATTGAGCATCTGTTTTCGTCACAGAGCACCACAGATTTAATTCAATACTTCCATGTTCATCTATATTTAATTAGATCAACGTACCTTTAAACTCTTTTACTCAAACCCTCCACTGGCATCTTTCATTCAACACGAAAATCTTTTTAAAAAGGTTTTCTGTTTACTTGGTTTGGTTTGTTTTGAGGCAAAACGTCATCGTGGTCTATATTAAAGCTATGATAACAACTTGGGCTACTTTTCAATTAGTCAGAGGTGCCCATAATATGCCCACACTCCTTAGCACTTTTCATTCTTCAAAACGTATTTTATAAGCAATGTAGTCTTTAATTTCTTTCCCCCCTACAGGGCCAAAAGGGTAAGTTGTACTAACCAGAGGTAATTAGTACATTAAGTTTTGTTTCGAGGCCAGGCTATCAGATTACAAGTTCTAATAAATCCTGCTGGGAAAGGACACTTCTTTGTCTTGGGATGACTGAGAACTAACAAATCAACCAAACAAAACCCTTCAATTCCATCAGAAACTCTCCCGTCTAAACACAATAGAAAAGAAAAGCCAACCCCAAAGCAAAGAAAATGAATGAAGTGGTCCCTCTGCTGGCAGCCTTACCATTGGGAGTGGAGGTCCCCTCCAGACCCTCTGGACCCTCACAAGGGCTCGGGCTCCTCCTGGAGTGGGGTGAGGGTGGCGAGGGGTCCAAGACTTGGGTGCGGGTAGAGGTATGCTCCGTGCATGCCTGAACAGGACTCACCGCCGTCTGCCTGCCTGTCTGCCACTCCGTCCTCTCGTCTGGGTGGGAAGGGCCAAGATGGAAAAAAAAAATGTGCAGGTTACTCACTGGCCTTCCCAGGCAGGCGGGCACACCCAGGAGGAGGGAGAGGCAAGGCGCAGACAGGGAGCTTCCTCAGAGGCAGGGCTCGAGATCTTGCTTCTGACTCCTTTTGTTAATACTTCCTGAACTTTAAACAACCTGCACAGGCATGGGTACGTTGGGGAGGCAAATAACACTTGAGTAATTAGATTCCAGGGCTCAATGCAAAGGTTACTTTGAAAAGGCGATGCTTTAGCACACACACTTTAAGATGCAACTCCGAAATCGGTTTCCACTGCGCTCGAGCCTGAACATGGCCTGGGAAGCACGGGGAAGGGGCTCCCTTGGTGCAAGGGCTTGGAATGGCCCGGAGCAGGCAAAGCTGGATGGGATTCAGACAATGAATTTTGCTGTCTTTTGGGCTCTGAATTGTGGAGAAACAGGATTCTTTGCCTTGCATAAGAAGCACATTCTTGAAATAGGTATCTGAAAATCAAGAGTTTAGAAATGGATTCCCATTGAAAATGCAAAAAATAAAAATAAAAAAAAATCTTGCCGCCTCATAGCCTGGCCTTTGATAAAGCCTAAAATAAAGCTTTGCATAAGTGGAGGGATCTGGGGGTAATTTGTTTTGGTAAGTGTGGTGTTCACAAATAGGCACGGCAGTGTTATAGAAGGAGATGGGCCAATGTAGTGGAGAGTGAGGAGGAGGAACTAACACCTCTTAGTACCACTCAGGACCAGGTTCTTCTCTCATTTAGTCCTGGAAATACCCATAGGAGGGAGGCATCATTGCTTGTCTTTCACCTGTGAGTGGGCACACTGAGACCCAGAGGTTAGGCAACCTGCTGAGGGCTCAGCCAGCCAGTGAGTGGAAGATCCAAGATCCGGGCCTCAGTTTGCCTGAATCTAACCCCGGGCAAGTCTTCCAACATCCCTGAAGAAGTATTCACTTGCATGTGACCTAAGGCTAGGTTAGCTTTTCTTAAATATGTATACCGGTTGCAAAATGATATGCTATAGAACAGGGGTCCTCAAACTTTTTAAACAGGGGGCCAGATCACTGTCCCTCAGACCGTTGGAGGGCCGGACTATAGTTAAAAAAAAAAAACTATGAACAAATTCCTATGCACACTGCACATATCTTATTTTGAAGTAAAAAAACAAAACAGGAACAAATACAATATTTGTATTTGCATGTGGCCCGCGGGCCGTAGTTTGAGGACCCTGCTATAGAATATAATGCTGCAGGATAATAGATACAATTGAGGTAAGAAAAAATGCATTATACAGATTTCTTTACTGTAGCTTCTCAGGACCTTTACTATGCTAATATACATTGTGAATTTCCCAGCTTGGGACTTACAGAGTGCCATATTTCCTTCCCCAGAGCTTTTTTGTTTAGAAGGAAGAGATCTTTGGGGTTTGGGAAGCACTATTAAAGAGATGGGTTCCTGTATTTTTCTCTCTGCTGGGTCTACATGTTTGTGTTCTCCCAAAATTTACATGTTGGAGTCCTAATGCCCAATGTGATGGTGTCAAGAAGTGGGGCCTGAGGGTGGAGCCCTGGTGAAAGGGATTAATGCCCTAATAAAGGAGATCCCACAGAGCTGCCTGGTCCCTTCCACCATGTGAGGATACACCAGAAAGAGGACCCCTATCTGACCATGTTCACACTCTGATCTCAGATTTCCAGCCTCCATAACTATGAAAAATAAATCTCTGCTGTTTATAAGCCACCCAGTCTGTGGTATTTTTTCATAGCAGCCTGAAAAAAACTAAGACACCTTCCTTTTTTATGGTCTTTTTTTTAAAAGTTTTCTGAACTTATAAGTCAAAGTCTACCTATTCTAACAACCAGTTCCCTTCCCCAAAAGTAAGCACCATTAAAATTTTTCGTGTATCTGCTTAAGGGATGTTTATGCATATAAAGCATATATGCATACCCTTTAAAAAATAACACAACTGGGACTGAAGTATTTATTCATTTGGAGGCGTTTGTCCCCTGCCCTGCCCTCTAATTTAGCATAATCTTCATGCCCAATGTATTTGCTTCTTCTTCTCACACTCACAAGGACCATCCATCCAGAAAGAATTCCACACCTGGCATAAATAGTGCAGCCCTGCTCTGATGTGCACACATGTTTAAAAGATAAAAAGGCTCTTCTGCGGTCAGGAGTAGGGAAGGCACAGCAGTGGTCAGCGGCGCCCAAGGCAGGGCCTGGGTCCCAGTTCTGCTGTGGATGCTCCAGTCGAGCCACAGGTGGGAGTTCCAGCTTCCTAGTCTCTGGAGTGAGCATGAGAGCACCTCCCTCAGGAGGCTCTGATGGAAGATTAGCTAAAAGGAGGTGGTAGAACATTTATAAACAGCAGAGTACCACACAAATAGCAGGTAGTGACCGGCACAGCTCCTGGCTCTCAAGACATGCCAGCTGGAGCCCGAGAACTGCTTTAACAGAGGAACCAGGTTATTTCTGTCATTCATGATCCCCCAGCCTTGGCCTGCTCAGTCGCTGCTCCCAGAATAGGTCCATCAGAACACTGACTAGTTCGAGAGCACTGTTCCAATAGAAAATGGACCAGCTTATTTTCATGTGGATGTTTTCACCTGCTCTTCCTCTCCCTTCCCCCCCTCTCATTCTCTCTCCCCCCAACCTTCTTTGGACACAAACCTTTTCCTCCATTCCTCTTGCTCTATCAGACCTTCTGAACTACTTCCTATTCATATATTTATGAAACTAATTTTAAACGTTTGATGATGGAAAATTTCAAATGCATACAAAAGTGAGAGAAAGGTTGCCCCGCCGGCAAGGCTCAGTGGTTGAGCATCAACCTATGAACCAGGAGATCAGGGTTCGATTCCTGGTCAGGGCACCTGCCTTGGTTGTGGGCTTGAACCCCAGTGAGGGGTGTGCAGGAGACAGTTGATCCATGATTCTCTCATCATTGATGTTTCTATCTCTCCCTCTCCCTTCCTTTCTGAAATCAATAAAAAACAAAACACACACACACACACACACACACACACACACACACAATAAAAAAAATTTTTTTTAAGTGAGAGAAAGGTACACATCACCAGCTTCAACAATAAGCAATTCAATCAAACCTTATTTTACCTCTATCCCTACCCACTCGGGAATGTTTTGAAGCAAATTCTCAGTATCACACCATTTTATCCATAACCATTTCTACATGTATTTCTAAGGGATAAGAACTCTGCTTATAAACAAAACCAAAAGGAACTATAATTACTTAAATCTTATCCAATATCCAGTCAGTATAAAATTTTCTCCAAATGCCTAAAAAAAATTTTTGCACTCTGTTCAAATCAATCCTGCAATTAATTGATAAATGTTGCCTTTATTCATCTAAAGTTGTTTTCCAGCTTTATTTTTTCCTTGCAATTTATTTGTTAATAACTTGATTCTTTTGTCATATAGCTCGTCCCATAATCCATATTTTAATGATGGCATGATTTATTATGAATTCATAGCAAGATCTGGAGGTTTGATCAAATTCAGATTTGAGTTTTGAATAGAATAGTAGTTGACAGGTGGTTTTCCTTGAGGAGGCAACTCATACTTGACTACCTCTAATTTTGTGTCTTAGCAGCCAACTAATATAGTCAGTGCTTAGGTATCAGTCCATAGAGACTGGAAAATGGTCACATTCTCCCATTACTTCTTCATTTATTAATCAGGGTGCTATTATGATTAAAGGTTTTACATTTGCCTAAATGAAAGCATATATTTTCCATTTGTTTTTTTGGCCACAAGGAGTTGTGGTAGATGATAGATATATCATCAGTTCCTTTCTATCTACATATTTCATTAAAAATCTATTATACAAAAAGATGATTTGGTTTCATTAAAAAAAATACACACTACGCCATTAGATTTCTGGGAGAAAAGCAAAGAAACATTATTCAGAAACCTTTAATCAAAGGATGGAGCAGGATTGGTCCACAGTATATCATTCATATCTAACCTTGATTCTGTATTCTGTCACTTGTGAGCTCTGTGAATTTGGTAAAAGTTTTTAACATTTTTACCCCTAGTTTTCTCTATAAAATGGGGATAATAATACTTACCTTATGGCTTTTGTAAGGACTCATGATAAATTATGCAAAGAACATTTTCTGGTGTCCAAAAAAAAAAATAATAGTAGATTCTCAATAAATTAATAGTTACTACAAGTTTTACCACTATTTCTCCCATACCTACCTAGCACAGTGCCTTGCAAATAGCAGTTGCTCAATAAATGTTAGGTGAATAAGCATAGGGCCAATTAGCTTTACATAGTCCCAAGCCAACAATGGCTTTAATATTTCAATATGCTGGGGATATAAAAATAAACAAAACTAAGTATCTGCTCATGAATTTACATTTAATCATAAGTAGGAATTTAAAGGCTCATTATTTTTTAAAGTGTATCGTTATTGTTGAAAGTATTACAGATGTCTCCCTTTTCCCCCCATTGATGCCCTTCACCCCACTCCCACTCTCTCCCCAGGCCCTCACCACACAATTGTCTGTGTCCGTGGGTTATGCATATATGAATATTATTTCTTTGGCTAATCTTTTCATGCCCTCCCTTTCCCTCTGAAATACGTCAGTCTGTTGGATGAAAAAGCTCATTATTTGCCCCCAAGTTAATTGGCTATTTTGAAAACAGTACTGTTGGTAACACACAAGATTGGGGCAAGTGAGGGACACAGGATCAACTCAATTACATCACCAGAGACCTGAGAATACATCCATTTCTCCAAAGAAAACTAAATCAGTGCTGTTATTACATCTGACATGGCTTGAAGTGCATTCAGGGCTCACCTACTGCAGTGGGTTGAACTATACCCCCTCCCCCACCCCCCGAAAGATAGGCTGAAGTCCTTATCAGAGCCTATGACTGTGACCTTTTTTGGAGTCTTTGCAAATGCACTGTAGTTCAGATGGGGTCATACTGGATCAGGGCGAGC